GGGGTGTACTCACTTTTGTGGCCAGCGGTTTAGACATTAATGGCTGTGTGTTGAGTTATTTTGAGGGGACAGCAAATTTACACTTATACAAGCTGTACACTCACTACTTTACATTGTAGCAAAGTGTCATTTCTTCAGTGTTGTCACATGAAAAGATATAAGATATTTACAAAAATGTGAGGGGTGTACTCACTTCTGTGAGATACTGTATATACATTTAAAAAATGGTCCATACAGCTTATGCTCTATATTAGTGTTTATTATATAAGTTTTCTTTAGTCATACCATAGTTTTTGCATCAGAAACAGACTGAAATTGAAGCTACGTTTTGTTGCATTCATTCACACCTTATTTTAAGTGGGGTGTAGTAATCAATGTTTTTCACCCACAATCCTCTTACACCTGACTACTCTGATAAGAAAGTGTGTCAGTACTGGGCTCCGAGATGGATCTGAGAAACATTACAATCTGTCTGTGTCTCCATAACCATCTGCTTCATGGCCCAGTGGAGATGCTCTGCCATTAGACTTTGATGTGATCCTATGTGAAGCATAAACTGCAGTGCATTTTGTTTATACGTTCTGCCATGATTCTCTGCTTTTAAGTACATTCCCCATTGGTGTATTTTTTTTCTCTTGCATTATTTATAATATTATGTTTAGATGGGGATGTGTTGAAAACAGTATGTACTGTACTGCATATGCTATTAGTATGAAAATCACAGCAAACATTGCCCAAAAATACAATAAAAAAATGATAGCTGATACTGATGTCTAATATATAGCCAACATTTAATTTAATTTAATTTTTAATTTAATATTCTGTTTAATTTAATTTAATGTAATTTTTATTCAAATATTAACCAATTAATTAAAACAATGGCTTTTAAAGACATTACATTTTTTGTTATATTTTTTGTTTTAATGTCAACTTGAATATCTTAAAACAATATGTATGCATGCTATACTGCATATGCAGTTTGTATGAAAATCTCAGCAAATATTAACCAATAAAAAAACAAAGTACAATTATTATTTTATTTACAATTAAACAATTAAATTAAAAGAATGGCTTTCAAGTAAAGATGTTAGGCTAATTTATTATTTATTTATTTTTTTTCTTTTATTTCATTTGTAATTTTTATTTTAGTATCAGTTTGGATATGTTGACTGTGCTATATGTTCTGTGTATATGAGAATCAGAGCAAACATTGATCTGAGATACAATAAAAATAAAGAAAAAATAGTATTCATTACATCGTGTACAGAAGATAAATTAGAATTGTTAATTGTCATGATACCAGAATTTCACTAGCTAATGCTAATAGCTGTAATTTGATTTAATTTAATTATGAACAAATTAAATTAAAGCGATAGCAAAGATTAGTCTAGTTTTATTTAATTGTCAACTTACCAAAGAACCAATGTTTTTTTACATTCCTTCTACCATTAACGGTTTTATCAGCTGGCCACTATTAAATATGTGAATGGATCTGTGCAATAGAAATATAATTTGGTCTTTTTTTCGCGCTAAAAGTTTCATGTTGCTGCTACTTGCATTTGTTTTCTCTTGTGCTTTTACCAGATTCTTGTGCGGACCCTCGAGCCAGACAGCTCAGACGAAGAGCCGCCCCCTGTCTACTCGCCACCAACATATGACATGCACATATATGACAGGAAATACCCGGATGCTCCTCCTGTTCCTCCACCCAGGTTATAAAAAGCACTTTGATGTTCTTGACTTATCTTTCTCTCCATTTACCACAAAAAAATAAGTTTGAGAGCAGTTTTAAATGAATTACTGAAACATTAGTTTAATTACATGAAACATGTAATAGGGTCATCATGGGTCTCAAGATCCTTATTCATTTTAGTAACATTCTCTAAATGATGACCCCTGGTGTTCATTAACCTAACTGCAATTCTTGGTGATCCTTGTGTATGTGGTTTAATATACAATGTGCATGTAATTCCATTTATTGTACAGATAATAATACCCATGAATTCACAAACATTAAAAAGGTTAGACACATCTGTAAATTAATTATGTGTAATCTGAAATTTAATCTGTAATTGTATTATAACTCTGATGTGAGTACTGAGAGTTGTCAGTGTCACTGGGCTCTGTTATCTTTCAGATTTGAGGCCCAACCTCCTCCTGGACACAGACAAGTGCAAGGTTACAAAAACTGGAACCCACCGTTACTTGGCAATCTGCCTGACGACTTCCTGCGAATCTTGCCCCAACAGTTGGACAGTGTACAGGTGAGCATTTATCATGTACTGCAGAAATGGCTAAATTCTGTAAGATTGCTATTTTTCATTTATTTATTTAATTTTTAGATATTAAGTAACATTTTGAGAAATGATTAGAAATTAATACTTTTATTCAGCAAGGATGCATTCAATTGATCAAAAGTGATCACAGAGATATTTACAGTGTAACAGAATATTTCTGTTTCAAATTAATTGTTATTTTGAACTGTCTGTTAATCAGAGAGTTCAATCCTGAAAAAAATGTATCACACTTTCCAAAAAATATTAAGCAGCAACTTTTTTCAACATAATAGTAAGTGATTTCTGAAGAATCATGTGACACTGAAGACAGGAGTAAAATTCAACTTTGTCATCAAAGGAATAAATTACAGTTTAAAATACTTTAAAATAGAAAGCAGTTATTTTAAATTGTAATAATATTTAACAATATTACTGGTCTTACTGTATTTTGATTGAAGAAATTAAACCTCGGTGAGCATAAGAGACTTCTTTCAAAAACATTAAAAAAAATCTTACTGACCCCAAACTTTTGAACAGTGGTGTGTTTCAGTCTTATCTAGAGTATCACAACACCTTTACACAATGCTCAAGGGTCTGTACTTTATCTATCTCAAACTCTTGAGTCCACATGGCCTCTGGGCTTGATGTCAATAACTAGTTCATTCTTGAATTTTGACCTTGATTTTGCGCCAGCTCTTTTTTCTTTTTCAATGATATTAAAGAACCATTAATAGTTCAATGAGTTCCAGGAGTTTGATCATTAAAACAAGCTTATGCAATACTGAAGTGCAGCAGGGAGGCCATTGTGCAGTTGCTTTTAAGCTCTTATGCCATATCATGCTTTCTGAATGGCTAATTGAACTATAATGGCATCCTTGTTCTATTGTACATATACTAGGGGTGCTCCGATTGATCGGCTACTGATCGCTATTGGCCGATAATCGTTTTGGGAAGTTTGATCGGCGGCTTCTATAAAGGCCGATCTCATAAACCGATCTCAAGCTGACGACATGCCTGCCGTGAAAGGTTTGGCATGACGTGCAGTGGCCGCGTCTCAATCTCAGTCTGGAGAGGGTAAAATAATTATAATGCTTGAGGTACAATTCATATTTCTTCAGTAAATAACTTACAAAGTAATTTAAAAGCTTTCTGTGAGACGTAATTTCACAAACAGCATGAGTGAATCACCGCACACTCTCTCTTTCCCTATCAAAATCCCTATCCCAAATGCAATTGGCTTCAAATCACCACATTGCATCTGCACTATAAGTGAGCTGCACACTACACAGTTGACACAGGAAATGTCACTTGCACAATAAAGGCAGTGTCGCACCTTGCTAATTAACTCCAAGCTTTTGAATGTTATATGTATAATGTTACAAAAGCTTTTTATTTCATATGAATGCTGATCTTTTGATCTTTCTATTGGATCTTTCTTTCTTTTCAAAAAATTTTGACTGGTAGTGTATGTATGTAGCCTATGTATCACACTCATATCACATGTTGTTTTGGATAAGAATAAAACGTCAGGTCCGACAATATCGTGTCTTTTTTTATTTAAATCTAGCTTTATTCGCATTGGCCCAACCTCTATGAACACACTTGACTTGACTTGGCCAAAAAATCATGGGGGACGAATTGACATTTAATTCAAAAGTGTTTACGTATTCTACACTCATGGCGCGCACACACATTAGGATAGGTTAGATGCCTGCCTCCGCTGCGAGTCCCTATCAAGCACTTTACCGATTCAACTACTCTCTTCTTCTCCTCCTGCCTGGCTCTTTGGCCAATGCAGACAGGGTTCTCCACCCCTAAACCTACCCATCTCCACCCCTTAACTTACCAATCTCCACCCCCTAGATGTGGATCCAACCACGCCCCCTGGATCTTGTGTTCTGCAGTGAGGGGCTACTGATAAAGCTGCTGTGAAAACGTGGGAAAAGCCGACGAGGAAGAAGTTGGGGTGAAGCGATTTTTATATAGGCAGAGCAAAATACTTATTCGCTCCGTCTATAGCGCATTATGATTGGATTTTTACGCTGTCAATACAGGAGACAAACCAATGGGCCACTGGCTGCTCGCTGTCCCTGTGTGATGGTCCTCGGCAAAAAAACCCCAAAACATTCTGTCGGCCCCTTAAGTGCGTCGACCCACCGGGAAAATGCCTGGTATTCCCGATTACCAATCCAGCCCTGGTCGCATCATCACTAAAGTTTATAATTTGCATGTCTTTTTAAGTCTAGCTAGTGTTTAAACCATTCAGCACTTGCGCGCTCTCCTAGAGACGGTGAGCTCATATACACTCGAAGCACACACACATAAGGCTGCCTCACATACAGCTCACAAAATCAGGCTTGTGCTGAGCGTAAGCTATTGTGCAACAATTGCCCCATTGTACAAACAAAAATGCACTGCATGATCAAACATTTAGGTGAGATAATTATATATTTTTTAAAAATGTCTAAAAAAAATGACTGTATGAATGTCTGTAAAAATCCTGACTGGAGCATCACTGTAAATAATTCTACATGATAAAAAGAAGGCTTCAAAAAGATCCGTATCAGTGATCGTATCGGCAAATACTGCTCTTCCTGTGATCGGTGATTGGCTCCAAAAATCCTGATCGGAGCACCCTAAACATATACAGTCATCCTGCATATACCGATCATTCATACATAAAGCATTGTATTTGGTATTTGAGGCAACATGACATTAATCATGTTAAGTTTCTCACTTTAACAATGTGTGTTTTTATTAGAATGAATCTCCTCTCAACATTTTTGGATCATATTTTATCTAAAAATTAAACGGAAATAAAAAAATTATAAAACAAAACCTGTTTTAAGCATATTTCCATCCCATTAACATAGTGTGAACAGTTCTCTTTTACATTACCATAATGGGAAAAAATTATTAAATTATATAATATTCCATAGCATATAGTATTTTATACTATTCATCAAAATCATATAAAATTACCTTTATGGTAGTACTAAAATTATCCGAAATATGGTAATGCAGATTTTGTTGGAAAATATGCTTTATTCATGATGATAATTTAAACAACGCAAAAAGAAATCGGAAGAGTTAAAAATACTACTATAAGCAAAATCATTTTTCTTTGGATTTGGAGTTTAAATATTCTTTAAATATTAATTCAGATATTAATATAATTAAAATGTAGATATTAAAATATTTTGTGTATGATGGGATGAAACTGTTAGTTGGAGAACTGGATTTTTTAAAAACCAAAATTAACCTCATGACAGTAGACAATTTTCTGAAATGTTTTACCTTGTTTATGAAATTCTGACTGTGAGGAACTGTGCTAAAACAACCTGTTTTTAAAGTTTGCGTCTAATTTTACATATCCCTTCAATATTCTGCAGGGCTCTCAGAGTAGCGTCTCCAAACCCTCTTTCTCCTCCTCCTCCTCCTCCTCCTCAGTACCCCAGAAGGTCCCCACTGTGGCAACCGCCACGGAAACAGGCGGCACTTCAGAGCAGGAACGCAAACTGAAGCAATATTTGGAGGATGAGCGTATTGCTCTCTACCTGCAGAACGAGGAGTTCATGAAGGAGCTGCAAAGGAACCGAGAGTTCCTCATTGCATTGGAAAGAGGTAGGAAGACGCTCGCCCATATGCTAAACGGGACAATGAGCAGTTTCTGGCATTCTCCACTTCCCCTCCTTTCACAGTTCCACCTACACAAATCCTGAAGAGTCAATTCTTATGCTAATTTACACAACCCGGCTGTGAACGTTGACTCTTTCAGTTTCTCTCCAAGGCCATTAACAGCGTCTGTTTCTCACAGCGAGATTTAGTTATGCTCTGTCTTGCACATTTTGTGCTTTTACACTTGAAAAGTCCTCATTGGATGATCTCATATCCTCGTTGAATGCCAAATGTCAAAGACGTGGTTTTCCTTCCATAATACCTGCCTTCTGTGTTGTAGATCGATTGAAATACGAGTCAAAGAAATCCAAATCCAGTCATTCATCAGCTAGCATGGAAAACTCCACAGGTATATATCATTCACCTGAACGGTGTGTGTGCGTGTCTCTGTGCATATGCATAATTTTCTTGTTTCTAAACCCCCAGTCCTCAATATTTAAACCCTCTAAAGCCTGACATATGAAATGATAATCAGAAAAATCTAATTTTTAAAATGAAAGTTTATGATGAAATCCTATTAGCTTGTAATGTAAATTAATGAGATCTTTATAACAGTATATAACAGCAGAAAACTTACATCAGTTGTCATTCTGTATCTCCTAATAATGTAGTAAAATGGTATTTACATGCTTAGTTTAATGATCAAAGATCTCTAGTTTTTATTGAGGGGAGCAAAACACGTACTGCAATAAAACACATTGATGATTGAGAGATGTACAAATAAATGTTCCTCAAAAGCCTATTTTATCATATTTGATCCTCATATTTTAACATGATTAAAAAAATCTATGGATAATCAAACCTAAGTTGCTTCAGTGTTTTTTTTAAATATTACTAACAAAATAAAAGTTGTTATTATGTTTAATTTATAAAAATCAATAAAGATTTCACAGCAAAAAGACATGCATACCAGGACCTGAAGGGGGACTTCAGGGTCTTTTAATTGCTAAAAAAAACTGTAATATCAATCAGATGACAAAAGGCATGTAGTAGATTGTGTACAACCTGTTTAAAATGTATAAAATTAACATGCGACCCATTTTGCAACATTTGTGCTATAGACATCAAGATGCTTTTCTTTTTTACCTGGAAACACAGGTGACCACTGTGCTTCCGGATCGGTAGAGGCCTGTACAGCAGTCTCAGATGACGCTCTGTTTAGAGACAAGCTAAAGCACATGGGGAAATGTAAGGGACTTGCCTAAAACACACCAGTTCACTGGAAAATAATTGTGTATTCAGGATTTTACTTTAGGATTTTACAGGACATTAAGATTTCTGGTGCAATCTCATCTACAGCAACCAGGAAAAAGCTGTTTGAAATTGCCAGAGGGTTCTCAGAGAAGACAAAGCGGAGGAAGTCTAAAAGAAGAACGTTGCTACGGCATCATTCATATCCTTCAAAATGTGCCAGAACCATGTTAGCTGAATTCAATACAGCATGAGCTTACAAAATAAAAGACTGTGAGAAATCGTAATGTGAAATATTTATAGATATAGCGTTAGTTGTGATGCTGTGTTTTTATTGTTAAACTCAGTGGCTCCCCTGTTTTGTGTTCAGAAGGATGTGAATTCCCCAGCAAATGTTATTTATGGTTCTTGGCACAGTAACTTCGGTTCAGTTCAGTTGAGTAAATTTAGTGTCGACTGTTTACTTTGACTGCACTTTCTCAGATTGGGCACAGCCAACTCCACTGCCAACCTCCTAGACCATGTGGAAGGAAACCCATGTGGTAAGACTTTCTCTCAAATGTTCCAAGCCATTTTTTCTTTACATTTCTGGGTAATTGAAAGTATATTTGCTTGGGTAGTGTTCATTGCTGAGATTGCTGAAATATGAATATTTTCAGAAGTCTCCGCAATAAACTACAAAGTGGGCTGTCAAATTGATTAATCGCGATTAATCGCAACCAAAATAAAAGTTTGTTTACATAAAATATATATATATATATATATACAGTGGGTACGGAAAGTATTCAGACCCCCTTAAATTTTTCACTCTTTGTTATATTGCAGCCATTTGCTAAA